GGCTTCATCTTACTAATACATTCATGCAATACTAACCCTATTATAACAGTGTGCATATATTATAAAGAGTGCAAAAGCAATGCAGGGAAAAGAAGGGGGTGTATTAAACTTGGAAGGAATTGTGAGGTAGAAATTTCTAAAGGAGGTTTTTAAAACATATATATTATAAATATATAAATTATATATGTTGAAAAATATATATATATAAATTATATATAGTAAAAACCAAAGAAAAGAAAAAGTTACCTGCGCTCTCTCCTTAATCCCTGTGTATATTTAGACAAATGGAGGTCATTTAGTTGCTCCAATGGCCATTGGAGGGAATGCCCGCCAGCCAACGTCAAGGCAGACCCCCCTAAGCGGGTCCTAACACTGACCCTTCAGCCTGCTTCCTTGAGCTTCTGGCAAAGATATCTCTATTGAGACAGAGAGGGGTATTTTTTATATACAACCCTATATACTTATTAACCCTTAATAGGGAACACATGGGATGGGCGGCAGCATTGTAACAAGGCTGTGTGATACAAAGTTAATACAAAAAGAGAAGTCCTGCTACCACTCCCATCACTACTGGGCCGGCAGCAATGACTACAGTACACATCAGCCCCAATATATAGTAAAAACCAAAGGAAAAAAAAAAAAAGTTACCTGCGCTCTCTCCTTAATCCCTATGTATATTTAGGGATATATAAATTATATAAGTTTAAAAATAAATGACATATATTAAAAAATATTGTTAATAGTAAAATAAAATTCTCCATTTATCATTTAAAAAGTTATTTTAACATTTTTAAAAAATTAATAATCATAAAATACTATTAATTTCAAAGTTGATAGTTACCTCCTGTCCAGTGAGACTCAATTTTCTCTATTGCACAAAAATTTAAGAATTTAGGGTCTGATTTATGTTTTTCTAAAAAGTGTTTGGATACGATGTGGTTTATGAATCCTTTTTTGATGTTCCTTACATGCTCTCCTATTCTGACTTTTATTGGTCTTGACATTTTCCTTATATATTGAAAATCGCATGTACAGTTTAAAAGATATATAACATTGTTCGAATGACATGTAATCATGGATTTTATTTTAAATTCTTACTTTGTAATTAAAGAACTAAAAGTTGTTACGTTTTTATATTTTATGTCCGTATTTTTACATGCATTGCACATACCATAGTGAAAAAAACCTTGCTGGTTTTTCGACCAATTTGTTAAAAAATTTGTATTATCTGGGATTCTCTTTTCTAAAAAACTACTAGCTAAAATCTGTTTACATTTTTTTGCACCTCTGAAGATACATTTGGGTTTAGAACTTATATATTCCTGTATTTCTTCTTCTTGTTTTAAAATGTTCCAATTTTTATTTATGATTTTTTAATAGCACCTATATTATTTGAATAGTTAAAAATAAAAGGGATCTGCTTATTTATATTCTCTATCGTTTTATTCTTATATTTGAAAAGAGGAGATC